GCCCTCGTCGGGCGGGAAGCGCTACCAGCGTTCCCTCAGCTCAGCGCGGGCCTCAGCCGCTCCCGAAAAAGCCGGGTGTAAACATAAAATCAGATTTTCCCTTTTAAATGCAAGCGCTTTTGTCATTCTAGCAGCTTTAGCATTCCCTCCTGCCCACCTCACTAGTTATTCCCCGGGGGGTTTTTACCTCAGCGCGTCCCTCAGAAAGGGAGGCTGCACCCAAGCCCCGAGGAGGTTAGAGAAGATGGAGGCAGGGGTGCGAGGAGGAGGAGGAGGAGGAGGAGGAGGAGGAGAGGGAGGCCAGGGGCTAAGGGGAACTGCGGCTCCCTCAGGAGGGAGAGCTGGTACAGGCGTTCGCCGCCTGCCTGCGGGCTGGGTGTGGGTGTAACTGCTCCCTCTCCGCCGGGGCCCCCAGACAGCGGGGGTCTGTTGCTGACATGACCCCATGGGGCGGTGGAGCGAGGTATTTGCCTCTTTACACAGTGTAAACTGGGGCAGGGGGTGCGGATGGTCCGTACTGGTTCCCTGAAGCTCTCAAAGGCAGGTGAGGTGCCTCAGCTTTTCCCGAGCCACCACGCTGCCATCGAGAGCTCCCACAGGCCTTACCTTATAGATGCAGGACTTGGCATTCAAGAAGAACAACTCAATGGTGGCATTGTCCTTGAGATAGGAGATGCTTTCAATGTAGAACCTGGAAGGGAAAGCAACAGGGGTGAGATACGTGGGAAAACTGTAAGGCCAAAAACGTGAAAATGGGCTCATTACATGAGGAAGGCGGTCAGCAGCATCATGACGAGCCTCCTGAAAACAAACTTGTTTCGCTTACGACGGGGAGACTGGGAGGACAGAAGGGGCTTGAGCGTGCTCTAGGACGCGATCACTCAGCGCAGCCCCAGACACGCCACAGGAACTGGACCATCACGTAGATTATTTTGTTTCTAATCGTTCCTCTTGTTGGTTTGCAGACTTCCCTCCCTTCTCCATCCCGTGATGGCATTTCTTTTTCACTCCTTTACCTAACCTGTCCATTTCTGTGCTGCGTTTGATTCTTTGCCAATATGAACACAATGAGAGTTTTGCCACCGGCTCGAATAGACTCCAGCTCTTAATTCTGCTCTGTGACCTTTCAGGGAAAGAAGTTCAAGATAAAATAAGTGCAAGATACCACTGAAGTTAACAACTGGTCATTACATATGCACATCCTGTGTGTTTTTAAGGTTCCTATGGTAACAGAGAAAGCCTGGGTGGAGTCAGAGAAAGATTAAGGTGAATTTTGCATTTATTTTATATTTTGGTTAAGGAGAAAAATACATGTTCCTGCCTACTCTGGCTTAGAGTGATCTTTAAGTTGCAATGCAGTGGCAGCAATGTTCCTTACCTAAATTCCAGTACTATCATGCCTTGTCAGGGGCAATTAGAATAGGGAAGGTGCCTGGGCAATGCTGTCTGCATCAGGAACTTAAAAAAACAATGAGATCCCTTAGAAATCTGGGTTGAGATGCAGAGTTCAGTTACATGGAAATCTTACTCTCTGACCCTGCTGTCTGGGAGCAGAGCTGTGAGACCTGCTGAAACTCCTGGGGCTGCACACAAGCGTTAAAGAGATTGTCCATGTTCTGTTATTTGCAGAATCCAGGGCCTTAAATGTGACCTTTTTAGGGGTAAAGGTCAAAGCTTTGTAGTGCTCCCAAGTCTATTCTGAAGACCCTTCAAAACAATTTCTTTCCTGACAGATGCAGTGAACTATTTACTTACTGGAGTGAGAGAACCATTTTGAGTTTTTTTTTTGTTCATCTGCTGAACTTCCCCGACTCTTATCCCTTCTCCTCCCCCTCCAGAACAGTTCAAATGTCAAATTAAAAAAAAAAAAAAAAGGAAACCATTTGAATGTTCCATAAGGGATCAAGAATAAAAATGCAACTTTTTCTTAATTTTTTCTACTTTCCACAGGGTTTCATCTCCTGTCCTTGAAACTGCCTCTTTTTTTTGGCAACTAAAAAGATATTTGCTTTAGAAATGCAAAAAAGGCACTGCATTAAAAAGGCACCTTGCTAGATCTGCCTTCTGAGTGCAGCTGGCTTTCCATCTGCTGAATTCATGGAGAAAAATGATAATTTTGCACCTACTGCTATTCTTGAAGAAGCTCCTCTGCTTATCATCACTACTGACGCTCTCCAACGTGTGACGGTAGAATCTTTAATTCCAGAGCTGGACGAAAGAAGAAAAATCTGTTCCATTTTCAAATCCCGGTGAAGGTTGGCAAAAATGCTTTTTGTTTCTTCAGCAGATCAAACAAGACCATCCTGTTGATCACTAGAGGGCAATATTGCATTTCGTAAAGCTGCAAAGACCTTTCTCAAGGCTTTCCACATAGACACATACACAGATCATTTTCTGTGTAAAAATGAGTCTCTTCTGAGCCCAGAGCCTGCATATGATACTTTATCTTCACAAAGAAAACCCAATTCTCAAGTGATCTGCAGAGTGGAAAGTGTGCTGGTGAGCTACTGGCTCTCACACATGCACCCAGACAAGTACAAAGTATGTGCACTGGGAAATTGGTGCTATTTGAAAGAAAACAGATTTGCAGAGAGAACTCTTGTGAGATTTGCTGTGTGGCAAGCTCCAAAAACCCGAACTGGAGCAGACGCCCTTGAACTCACAGCCAGCGCTGGAACAACAGAAAGGGGAGGGAAGGACATTTTTTTTGCACTGATTATGAATATCTGTCAGACCTCCTCCTGTTATCACCTTTTCCAAAGACAGGGAAGGAAAACACACTTTAAAATGACTAGTATGTCAGTGACTAAGGAGACAGGAAGAAGGATCCATCTGCTAAGGCAATGAACCAAGCAAGAGATCTGGGTTAAATTCCTGACTCTAACACAGGTTTCCTTTATGACCTTGAGCAAATTACTTAGTTGCTGGGGGCTGTTGTTCTGTGTTTGTAAATACTCTTCCCTCCTGTGGCACCTCTATTTGTTTTGCCTATTAGCCTAATAACCCCTTTTCTTACTGCATATTTCAAGACCATCAGTTTTGGGGGGAAACTATAAGACTTTTGTCCAGGACTCCCCAGAGAGCAGCGTTCCTTCAAGTGAAATGCATGCACCGTGAAGCCAATATATCCAGGAAATAACAGACGGGCTGGGTAGAGATGCAGGCAGTACAATGTGTCCCAAACCTCAGCTGGGCTACCTACATCTCTTACAACACAATCAGCAAACAGCATTGCCTCAAGCAGCTCCTTCAAGAGTTTCCCTGATAACCAGCCACTGGTGCCGTGAGAAATTAGGTGCCTGCTCTGATGACAAGAAGGAAGAAAAATCCCACAGGACTTTGTGAGTGTTTTTTGAAAAGTTTAAGCGGTAAAGAAGGGAGATCCAGCCAATGATAATCCTATTTCTGTGTCTTCCCTTATGCTGCCCCTTGGTCACGTGTAATTCATCAAGTACATTTTCTAAGCATTAATTAAATGGACCAGTGAATATTATGCTGGGTAATGAACACAAAGTGCCTATCTTGACTGCTCCCTCTCAGCGGCAGGAAGATAATAATGTCTAGTGCAAGAGGTATCTTGGAAGACTTCAGTAACTGCCGCCTCTGAAACATTTACGTCTTTTAGCTGCGAGGACATGCCTTGTACTGATCAGATCACTCTGTATTAAGTGTTGATTAACTAGCAACTTGTTCTGAAACAGCTTAAGACCCCTTATGCCATGATGAATGGCAATCTGCATCGCAACCAGCCGAGCACAGACGTTTATGAAGTGGTGCCTGTAACAAGCAACTGTGGAAACTCCCGATCCTTGGGTGATGGGAAATCGGCGCTGCTGTGTTTTCTCCCTTGCATTACACAGATTCCCACCTCCAAGTTGCAGCACAGAAGGGTTCTTGATTGGGCCCTGGACTCACCGATGAGGTTACTGGTTCTTCAGGAGTGAGAGTACCTGGTCATTGCTGCCTGCCTCATATAAAAACCCAGTTGTGTGTGCATGCGTGTACCTTCAGCACTGCTTGGAAGGTGCTTGGCCACTAGTGCTTCGTTTATCCAGTGGGGATAGGAGGCCTCAGGACTATCAGGGAGACTGCCTCCAAAGGCACCTGAGTCAGTGGTGTGTTTATGCGGCCAGTGAATGCCAATGGCAGAAGGAGATTCTGTCAAACAGCAGGGCATCTCCTGGCCCCTCTGGACTAAGAGGCCCCGCCTTGACGTTACCCAGTATCATCTCAGAGAAATTGGCTCTGTGGCCCAAAGTGGTTCTTCCAGGCCTGTGTTCATTTGTCTTTTGCAAATAGGACCCATGAGTCATTAAACACCATGACTAGTTTGATGATTACTTCCTTTAGCAGCAGGGCTGAATTTAGCAGCGCTCCCAGTTTCCACACACCAAAAGAAACTGTCAAATATGAAATATTTAGCATTGCCCCTAACACATCCTGGACATATCCTGTCGACCTAAACTTGGTCATTTATTACCCGGCAGAGGCCAAGCTTTGACCAGTCTAGTTCCTACCTATTTTTGCAAATGCATTGTCATAGCATCTGAGATCACAAGTCCTTGTATTTACTTCCAAGCAGAATTTGCCAAAAGGTGAAAATATTTCACCATGGTCTTTAACCCAATGATGCTTTGGAGCATGACCACAGCAAATAGATGTTTTATCTACTGCATGTGTAGGTCTGCCTTAGGGCAATGAAATAACCCTGCTTCTAGTGAGAATAACCAGAATAACACCTGCTGTGGTGAGAACCCACTGGTCAAAAAGGCTTTTATCAGACAACAAAAATGTATTTTTTTCACCAAAGAGAAACTCTCCAAAACTCCCATTCTGGTGTCATGGGTTTTCTTCCAAGAAGATTCAAAGAAACATTGACATGGCTTTGGAAGATCTCAGAATTATTTCAGTGCATTGTTTCCATGTGGAACAGCGTCTTCTCAAGGGAGTGGAAAACCTGGAAAACCGTCACTGAAACTGGGGCCCTGACAAGGACAAAGGTTCTTCTGCCCTCCAGTGAGCCTTGACCAGGAAAGGATTTGACAAAGCCCTCTCTTGTTACCATCCTCACATGCCTGACTCCTCAGACACCTGGCTGCTCTCAGAAGAAGGCAGTGGGGTGGCCATGGGGGTACAGGAGGCAGCCGGGTGAGGGGGTTGCCTGTGCGTGTGGCTCCAGCATGCCGGTACAGTGCTGTGCAAGAGGGCCAGCCAAAACAGAGAGGAGCAGTGCCTGGCAGTGACAGGTGCAGCTGAGGCTGCAGGGCACGGGGGTGGCACTGAGGATGTTTCTTCCTGATCCAGGTGACTGTGACTGATAACAGCGTGGGACTCATTTGTGGGTGAATGTCTGTTTTTTCCAAAGGGCAGGAGCTGGGAACTTAGTATTGGCAAGGGGTGTTTCTTCCCTCCAGCCTGGTGATACTAATTCCATGCAGGGAGACAAAGTGCCCCTCTTGGCCTATTACAAGTGGGAAAGGGGGAACAAAAAAACAGAAAAACAAAACCAAGTGGCTCTCCTCTGCCTTGGTGAAAACATTTTTGCTGGGAAAAAGGCAAAAAAAGATAAACCTGGATTTCATGGAAACCATCGAAATGAGTAAAAAGGTTCTGGTTTTGATGTGTAGTGATCTTACCCAGTGCTTACTTCTGCCTTAGATGGGAAATACACTTAGACCCTAGGAGAGAGGA